TTCAAGGTTATGCGGACGAAAGCGTTATATATGATGATGATGGTCTTGAACCAATAGTGGAGCGGATGAAAAAACTAAGTGAGCCAGCCTCAGAACAAGAACGTATACAGCGATATGAACTGGTTCAGAGTCAATTGTGTGACAGTGATACTTCTGCTGATAATGGTTTGGATCCAGATGTAAAACCTTTTGTTGAAGATTCTGGATATTCTTACTTAGATTGCTCACGTCGACAATTTGCTCAACAATCTTCATTTATTTTGCAGGTACTTATAATAATCTATAATTAAAAATGATATATTATGATGATAAATACATCAAATGCCTACTAGGACATTTTTAAGCTTAAAATGTTATTAACCAAATGTATTTATTTTATTTTTTTCTTATAAATCATATGATTTTTAAAATATTTAACTATATGCATAGACATCAGTTGATTGTATTCACTTCAATATTTTTACWCGTGTCTAGTCAAATATACTACCAAATAAATAATATAAATTTAAATGTATATCAGGTGGATTAGTTCATACCTWTATATGTATGATACAGAGTACTTATTAATTTCCAACAAAGTTAAAACTTTGTTATCAGATTTACATATTGATTACTATTTCATTTTTAGCAAATATTTATGTATGAAATTTATTATGCATTGAAAAATGTATGATTTAGGCTAATGACTTAACATTTATACTCTATCCTATCTAAGTTTACAATCCTTCACGCATTCATACYGAACTGCTGGAATGGTTAGACTCCCTCTAGATCAGTGGTTCCTAACTTGATATTAGGTATGGGCAACTATTGTAAAACTTTCACCACTATAGAAGTATGGACCACTACTTAATTTAATTTTTCTCTATACCTTATTTATTTAAAAATTATAATTTATACATACACAGRTACACAATAAAATCAGCAATACTGTAAAAGCTCTGGAAAGATATTTTAATTGATTAATTTATATATTGAATTAAACACTGTATAAATTATATAAGTAGTATTGAATATAATTAAATGATAATAATTTTTATTATTATTCCTTTTTTCAGGAATTTTCCTGGGATCATCATGGTTATTCGTTAATTAACCGTTTATTTAATGACATTGGATTATTATTGGATAAAAAGTTCAAGACTGCTTATAACATGACATACTATACAATGGGTGGTCGCCCTCACATTGATACTTCAAGATTCCGTAGAGCAATTTGGAATTATATTTATTGTATTTACGGAATGAGAAATGATGATTATGATTATGAAGATGTTACACAGTTGCTTCGATGCCAATTGAGAGTATTTGTCAAGACTGCTACTTGTTACCCAGAACGTTTGAACAAAACAACCATTGAAAATGCACTAAAACATTTTGAATTAAGTGAAAAGGTAACATAAAGCAAGCAATCCATAATAGTTTGTAATTTAAGTCTAGCAAAAATAATTTTAAATATTMTTTAATTTACTTTTTTGAATTTTAAGCTATATAACAGAGTACATTAGTTTTTTTTTATTTTCATTAATTTCTGAGGGCTTTCTTAAAGGTTAAATTAACACAATATKTTTAAGCTATGTAAACTATATAGTAACTTGTAAATGTTAATGTACCATTAGTCCTAAATATTGGTTTCTTGGATGCTTCACCCACCATATTTTTTTGTGAAAAGTGCTCACTCCAGCATTTATTACATTTCAGTTCTAAAATTATCAATTAATGTAATAATTATTTTTATATTAGTTTCATCATTTCATGCACAATTTTTAATTCAAATTTTAGGTTTGAGCTTTAATTTTCAGTTTATACTTTTTTGAATAATATTTTAGGTTCTGAGAAAAACAATAAAAGTACATTGTTTTTTTATTTTTATATTGTCATATTATGAAGCAAAAAAAAATGCTTCAATTTCATGATGGATTTTTAGAAGAAATCTTTCGTTTTTCTGTGTACTACTCAAATGACCATTGCACTTCTTAAATATTTCTTCCCTTCCAGTCATTTTTTTTTATATCATAACAATATGATTTATCTTTAAATTCAAACTTAACACATCTGTTGTTATAGTGACGATGATACATTGTACCAAAACAACTTTCTTATTTTTTTTTTTAAAGTTTACTTATAATGTATGTACCAATATTTTATTAAAATTGTTTCAATTGTTTCAGATTCACATAAATTTAATGATTATGGAAGCACGAATGCAGGCTGAACTTTTATTTGCATTGCGTGCTGTCATGAATTACATGATGCAGTAACCATTTATATATATTTTTTATAACATGTTATTCAATATTTTTTGTTATAATTTTTCAGCATGTATACAATTTTGGTTATACGATTTATACTTAAAGAGAAACCATGATTTGTTCTCATATATTTCTTTGCTTGACTTTTGTATTGGCTTAATTTAATCTATTTATTTAAATCCACAATATTTGCAGAAATTTTCTATATTATCATTGTTCTTACAAATTTGTATTTTATAATAACTGAATATTTTATAGTTATATTTTATTGTGATAC